CAAGCGCTTATTCCACCAAATTGTAAGAGAATTCAAATTATTATTGGTCAATAATGTACACGAAAAATGTCAAAAAGAGTCAAATTTTGAGAGTGCTAGCGCTACTTTGCACTCGTGTTACATGAGAATGCACTCATTTTTAGCCGATCAAAAGCGCATAAGTTTTTCATGGACATTATTATAGGATTAAACATTTTGTTTTATGTCTTAATTACCAACAGAGAAGAAAAAGAATGCTTTTGAAAGCCTACCTGAAACAGAGAAGGAAAAAAATCAGGACTATCCTCTACATTTATGAATAGGTTTTCCATTTCTCAGGATGCTAACATGTACCATAAGCTCACATGTTCAGAGTACTTACTACCAAAGACATACCTGGCTGAATCTTGCCAGAAAGTTATTGATGACCAATGGAAACCCACAAGAACACCAGGAATCTGTCCTGGGGCTGGACTGCCTTTCGAGCTTCTGCTGGAAAAAGAAATAAGAGAACATACATGTAAGATAGTGTATTTACAATGCTACGCACTATGATGCATTCATTTAGTTTTGTTCCTTTACGCCATTTCATAGGAAGCCATACCGTAGCACTGTTTAAGGTCATGAAGACTACGAGACGTTTAAGACTGGATTAGAAAATGTCCGATATACATACATACATACATCTTAAATTAATGAGGGTAACAAAATAACGAGGGTAACATATTAACTTACACAAGTTTTCTAATATATGGCCCTCACAATATGCCAAAAGTAAGCTTGTCTAGTTATATTTAATGATTCTTAGATTATCTTTTTTAATATTCCATGATTCTTAGATTATCTTTTTTGATATTCCATGATTCTTAGGTTATCTTTTTTAATATTAAATGACTCTTAGATTATCTTTTTAACATTGTAACCTGAGATATGTACTTTTATATTGAGACAATGAAGATTATTATTATTATTATTATTATTATTATCATTATTGTAGAACAGGGGCACATGGAGATTGGAAATAAAGTTCACCTTCATTTCCATCTAGGAGGCGTTTACAAGGTAACTGAAATCCACTTAGTTAATGATTCCAGATTTAAGTAAGAAAATATTAAGACTAGAAAAGCGACTGTTTTTTTCTCTTTTTTAATAGTTCCTGTTAGTTTCAACGGGCATCACCCACATTAATAGTTACTATTTTCACAGAGTTTATCAGTGTTGATAAGATATTGCGATCTCAAAAAGGCACCATTCAGCTAAATTTCAATGGTAAATTCTCTAATTCCATGTTAGGCTGAAATTAAGGACAAACCTGCTAATCAGGAAAAATAGGAACACCTCAATAAACATCTGGCAACAGCGATATGGATAGGAATCTCCTTAAATGTCTGCTCAAGAAATTGCAAGATTTTTTCGACAAGATCCTCCCGCTGGAAAGGGAATCAACGTTCAAGAAGCTGTGGATTGTAAGTATAGCAAAAATGATTATAACTGTAAATAATTATCAAACAAACTGCAGAAAAGAGTTTCACTCTATTTCATCCAAATAGATCAGAGCACTACACTTCTGGTGAAGATTGAGAAGATTAGTGAAAAAAAGCATTCTTTCCCTCTGTTTTATAGTTTCAAAGAGCTACTATATCATAAACCTGTAACATCCAATTGAACATGAAATCATTCATCTTCAACAGAAAGTAAGAATATGTAAACTTGTAAAAACCTATCTTGCTGTGAGATCACACCATTAAAATGCTCCATTTACTAAAATCTTTAGTGCTGCGTCAACAGGCAAGACCCAGCGACAACTAACGGTCATTTGGCTGGTAGTGGGCCAGGATATGGGAAGAAAAACTAAAAAACACTGTTTGAGGGAAACATAAAGGTAAGATATTCAAGGGATTCAAATTACCACTGATATATATTTTTTTCAATCATAGCGTACAAGCTATGATCAAACCAGTTAGCCTGGCATGTGGTCATTCTAGGAGCATGAGGTGCCCGAAGTCCGTCATCTCGCTTGCAAACAATGCCACTGCAACAATAGCTCCTTGTCCCGTTTGTTGTCAACCCCTCCACCGCGACAGTCGTCATCTGATACAGTCGCAGTCATGCCGTAGTCAATTCACAAAAAAGCCTATTTAGCATATTTAGCACTTTGTTAACTAAAACTCATGCCAAAAAACTAAAAGGTTTTCATGAGCCACAATTCGACCGGATTACCCTGAACATACCACTTCTAGATCTTGTCAGTTACTTTGAAAAACTACAAGCAAAAGTGTTAATTTCTATCTGTTAAACTGTTTCAGCTTGTGAGCGCTGAAGGTTTGTAAGCTTCGATGGTTTGAGAGTTTGACTGCTTTAGTACTAATTAACAATTATTCGTTGAAATCGAGGTGAATAGTGGCTAAATATTTACCGAGCCACGAAGCGGCGAGGTAAATATTCCCGAAAGCCACTATTCACCGAGATTGAAAAGAATAATTGTTTTAGTATATACACACGAAGTGATCTCGACACAATTAAAAGGAAGCCACTTAAAGGCAATTTCTGCTTCTGAAACTTTAGCGAAACGCGAGTTTACGCCCGCCATTTTGTTTTTCACATAATCCACTCGCTCGGAGATGTACATTGTTGATTAGCCCGAGATAGCGAACCAATCAGATTGCTTGAAACGCCAAGATCACTGAGTGTGTATATACTAATTTACTTTAGTATGGTTGATGAGAGGTAGCAGGTTCGTTAGATTTCAAAATGGTTACCCCGCATTTTGTCAGTTGTCCGAGGAAGTGATAAACACGACAGATATAAAAATTAAATTGCGAAAAGTACTTTAGACGCAACTGAGTTTGACAGAACACTTTTCAAAAGTAAGATGTTACAACTGCCGATTTATTTTAATACGAGTAATCAACCCATAGAATTATAGAGTAGTATTAGATTTTGAATTTTTAAGTCAAACTGTTTACAATAATTTTTTTCATTTTTTACGTATCATCATGGTTTGTTTACTTGAAAAGGTGATTGTAATTATAGGTTTACGGATGTTTTCGTCACTATATCCATAATTAATTTTCATTTAAAAATAGTATATGTTTCGATACCTTTGTTCCTTCCTCTTTAACATCAAAGGAAGCAGGTTATCAAAAAAAGAATAACTTCTGATTCAGTTAATTATTTGAATATGTGAGTCATATTTGATGTTTTTTACATGCAACAGGATGATCCAGCTGAAGATATTCCAGAAAGGGAGTGAACTTGACCGTAGCAAAGGTGACTTGGAAAGTTTTTTAGCAGCTAGTAAAAAAGTCTTAGCTTGTAGTTCTGGGCTCAGTTGTTCGAAGGGCGATTAGCGCCAACCCAAGGTTGAATTTTAATCCGGGGCTCTTTATCTTATTTTTGTCAAAAGCCTTTTTCGCACAATTTTCTTGTTAAAGCATCCAATCATCAACTACAGATAAAATGAATTAAACTGAATTTTCGTTTTAAGGTTTAAGAACTGAAATCACATTTTACACTAACTCTAAATTATCTTAACCCAGCTTTGAACAAACCGTCCTTGATGATTACAGCTTGCTGAGGTATTTAAAAAAAGTCGAGAAGTAGATTTCAATAAAGGTTGAAAAAGGCGCTACGTAGCATCCCCACTACACAAAAGGTTTGAGATCGGATTATGATCACCTGAAACCCAGAGAACAATAATACGTCAGTTGCGGTTACAAATGAGCTTCCTTGACACCCTGACTAAAACTTCTCGCGATCAGGAGGTCTTACCAGAGCTCACTGATCCCTGATCGACTAATAAACTTCTTGTGATCAGGAGCTCTTATCAGAAGTCATTGAAACCTTGATCAATCGACAAACTTCTCGCGTAATCAGGAGTTTTTTTTTTTCAGGGTTCCTTGACACCCTGACCAATCCAAAAACTTCTATTAAACTTCTTTTTTTCGGGAGCTCTTGGACTCCTCGATTGATCAAAATCTCTCTTGCGATCAGGTGCTCTTATCAGAGTTCATTGACTCCCTGATCGAAATACAAATGTCTTGAGATCTGGAGCTTTTATTAGGGATCGTTGACATCTCGATCGACTAAGAATCTTCTTGCGACTAAGAGCTCTTATTAGAGCCCAGTGACTCTCTAGTTGAACAAAAAACATATTGTGGCTGGGAGTTCCTATCAGAGCACTTTTGAGACCCCATCATCTATCCGATGGACCAACAAAACCTCTTGCAATCGAGAGCTCTTACCTAAACTTATCGACTCTCCAATCGACCAGGAAACGTTCTGCGATCAGAAGCTCTTATAATTAGAGCTTATTGTCTTTCTCAGTTGACCAACTAACTTCGCGCGATCGGGAGCGTTTACCATCTCCTTGACTCCCCGACACATAATTCGTGCAATTTCAAACCTTTTGCGTAATGGGAGTGCTACAAGGTCGAATTTTTTTGGCTTATCCTACTGGAGTCAAATGCCATTCCTTATACAGGATTGTAGCCTCCATACAACCTGAGATAACTGAAGAAATGTATCAATACTTGTGCTTAGCAGAACTACTGTAAGTACTAGCAGAGTGGCACCTACCGGATAAAGTTAATGACTTCCTGCAAACTTGAATGTACTGGAGAATTTATGGCGGTAATTGACCCTATTTTTGCTAGGATTCATTGAGTCTGATGATTGTTATGTATATCCTTCAGCTTTCGAACTTCGAATTAATTGTAATTCTTTACCATATTTATTTCTTTGTACTTTGTAATTTTGCTGTAGTTATCATATTGTAATTAAAAACTATTCGCCGACGTAGAAGTTAACGTTACTAAGCAATGTTCACTGAGCCTAAGGTGAATATATTATTGTAATGATAATTAACAATTATTCCACGAGCGCGCGTTGGATATGAGATGATAGATAGCCAACGAGGCGCGTAGCGTCGAGTTGGCTATGATCATCTCATAACCAACAAACGCGAGTGGAACAATTGTTTTATTATAAAAAAAACGCCCCCAAGATATTAGACAAATCTTCTCGACTTTATTTTGTAAGAAGAAACCGGATGTTACAATGTACAGATATTAGATTATGGTATATTGGCTCATATACCGTAATGGCTAAGCCACTAAAAAGTCCTGAATTGCATTATCCAATGATCCAGGTTTTAATAATACCTAATATAATATATGATATTATGTTATAATAGGATATATAATGGTATAGTTTCTCCAATATTTTGTTACAATTGTGTTACTTGATTACTCATATCAAGATAAACAGGTAGTTTTAATAGCAATCAGCACTGCTGATTACATCTTTCTCTTGAAAAGTGTTACGCCAGACCCAACAGCATCTTTTGTGCTCTTCGCAATTGAATTTAGCTCAAATTTTACGCTTGACGGATAAATTGTTTTGCTGTTTTTCGACTTGTTGGGCCTATAGCTGCTTTACCCACTGCTGGGTCGATCTCTCTTTCTTGCTTTTAAATGTTCTCTATACTTTTACACCAGCTCGATAACTGCACAAGCAGCTGTTCCTCGACCCTTTTCAGCCTGATAACAGACATGTCTTCTTCCTCGCCGCTTTTCAACAGTTATGAAACGAAGTAGACTTGCCATATGACATGTTCTCCTTCGCAACGTTAGCTCGTCCCAGGAAAGGCAGTTTTTTTGTTTTCCGCACCAGTATCACTAACTGAATTGATAAGATAATAAGTTCTCTCATTTTGGAAGAGTTTCTCCCGACTGTCTCTCAACACCAAAAACTGAAAAACCTAGTTGAAATAAAACCAACGAAGCTGACTGGGGAACTTCCCTCAGGTCCATTTGATATACATTTCCCTTTATTTCTCAACACCAATCGAGTAAGTTATTCAAAAGATGCTTAAAAACATACAAAAGCAGAATCCATCGTCAGCGATCTGTATTGTCTAACATTTTTCATCTGCATTTTAACCTATAGCTATACCTAGTTACGTGTTAATAGTTACGTGTCAGCTGGTTTATAAATATGATTTACGACAATCAAAGGGACTTTGAAACAAATAGATCAGTCAATAAGAAAGTAAAAAATACAATGTTGGAAGCCTTCTGCACCTTGTTTATTCCTATAAATATATTTATCGAGTAATATAGAAACAGTTTGTCTAAATAATATTAGCTACACCACTTAACATCATATACATTGTTTAGAGTCTGACTTCAATTGTTTCATACTCGCAATGGTCGCTTCGTGTTTCTACTATGTTGCGCGGATAAAGGTGAAAGAAGGCAACTAGCATTTTGTGGCTGCGTAAACTCGGCCAGTCATGGTATATAAGGCTATCCAACTTTACTCCTTAATTACTAATTTATAAGACTGCAAAGTAGCTATATCCATATATCTTTAACTCTAAACGTCCCTGAATGAGAGTTATCTCGAGGTTTATGAGTTATGAGTTAACTTTGTGAGTTATGTTTCAGGTTTACTTGATTAAGCATGATGATTCGAGTCGTTCATTTAACTCCAAGAGGCCTCCTCGTGGTATTCTATTCGTGTGAATTCTAATTATTTTCGTTCACTGAGAACTCCAACTGCAAACTGGAAAAACAACAAGCTAAGTTCTAGCAAAATCACTGTTGCACAACGTATGAAGAAGGGAAGAAGGTTTCAAGGCATCTTCTCACTTTCGCTTCAAGATTTTGAGTTTTTTATTTTTTTTTTACAGCCAGGAGTAAGTTTATTGTGCAACCATTTGTTTCGAATAAGGCTACCTAGAATTCTCTAACCTAGCCTCTTGGAGCCTTTTGCAAATCAAATCACTCGCTTTTAATCTTTTTATGCACCATCTCTTTTAAAGAGAGCAAGGTCCCCTCCTTTGGTTGGTCCCCTATGGTTACTTTGCTTTTCATGTAACAGCGCCTGGATTCTTCCAATTCGCCTGTGACTCGGTTGCCTTCATGGACCATCTGATTGTTGATGTGATACACTTGAACCTTGCGTAAGAGGTAAATCAACACTAGGATCAACGTACCACCTTCCCAAAGGCCTGGCATGGAAGCCCAATAATAGCAATCTAACGAAAGATGAAAACAGGGCATTGAAAATAGGAGCCGTAGTCATTTGCGATGTGGATCGAGACAATCCGACTTCTCACTGCTTCAGTGTTTGATTTGATTAATAAATTTTCCAATCGTTGGACGGGGCTGTATCTTATTGCGGACCTCTTACTCGAGTAGTAGGAGGTATTTACGCGCTACATTCTTGCATTAGGGATTATTTCCTTTTAAGAGTAAGGCTTGATTTCGAGCGGGGTCCTATAGCAAAGCGATCAAGTTGAAAACACCCCCTCGCACTCGTATGAGTGTCAATGTCAGATGCAACTAAAACCAACACGCAACTGCTAGTAAAAGAAAGATCGACTTACGTCCAAACACTGCACCTGCGAGGACAAGCCCCGTGCCGTTTATTTGAAAGATCGCCCAATTGACCGCAGTTTGCGCTTCTGTTAGCACTCTCGTCACCAATTCTTGTAAACTGTCAATATCGACTCCACATTTGGCTAAACGATCCCTTAAGATCCTAAAATCCTGTTCCCATCTTATCAAGTCGTTGGTTGAATGGCGACGGAGGTTGACAAACTGCAAAATGATTTTGACACTTGAAAAGACTCTTATTCATAGGTAACTTTATTATCCCTTTAGTTTAATTGTTACAATCTGACTGGCTTCTCTTGTCGCTTTCTGTTCCATAATATACGGCGAGTACAGTGAGTACCTCAATAATGTCCTGTTGTAAACAGAATTAAATAAACCATGAGCCTATCCCTTTGTTAATTTTTAAGGGACCTGTAGACTTAAGCCAAAACATTAAGATAATTCACTCTTGATTTCTTTGCTTGATGTTTTGTTCGCGATTTTCTCTGATCAACTATCACTCGATAGAAATCTCGAACTCAGGATCATGTTGTTTGATAGTTAAGTGGCAACGCACGATTGCGGTTTCAATGAGGTGGTTTAGGAGTTAGTTTTGCTGATGGTGGCAGTTAAGTATTATAGTTGGCATTTGTTACCTAGTAATGGTACTGATGTAGGAAGCGGTGTTTATAGTAGTTATAGTACATTTCGATCATGGAGTGGGTGGAATCAGTAACAATTATGCCTGTGGTGGAAGTTGTGTCAGCCATTTTGGAGTTTATTATTGCGCACTGGCTCTTGAAGCTTGCTTTGCCATTTGATTATTTTGGTGGGAATTCCGAAATTTTTTTGATCAGTGGTTATACAGCATAGATGTCCTAGGATCTGCCCTTAATTTAGCATTTCCTGTATGATCTAAAGCGAGAACACAGGACAATAGGGATGAAATGCTAATACAGCACTGTCGTTAAGCTAGTTAAAATAATGCCGTGAGTATCTTGAGAAAGAAAATTTACCTCTTCCACCTTTTCCTTCAATTTGCTTTCCTCCTGGCAGATTTCCTTTAGTTGATCTTTAATTTCGTTGCCGACATGTTTCATTTGGGCTCGTTCTTTAACGTTAACTGATGGTATTTGCAAACATTGAACCACTGTACGCGCTGTGGTGCAAACAAATGCTCTGGGTCTCTTAAATAAGATATACAAAAATATCAGCAGGGCTGCTATGCGTTCGGCCAGCTTCTTTGTTGCCGATGGAATTTCAGCTTCATTTGCTTGTTGTTGGGTTTCCTCCAAAACTTGTCGACCACCAGTCTCTTGAAGAGGGGTTCGTGAGGGCTCTTCATGATCATCCAAATCCCCCATTGTGGCTCTATTTCTTCAAAACAGGAAAGTCCTGCCAGATTAAGCAGAGCTTTGATTTAGACCTACGCTCTAACATTCTGGTTTATTGCCTAATCAATGCATAATCAAAGCTTTTTCTGTGTGCGCACCTAAGTTGTGGAACATTATTCCTTTTTCAATTCGTAAATCTAGCTCCGTAACTATTTTTAAAAAGAACATCGAGACTTTTCTCTTTTTAAAATTTGTAACTAGTAATTCTCTTCTGTCTGATTGGATTTTATTTATGTGCATTAGGTTATTTTATTATTTTATAGTATTGTAGAGCGCCACGAGAAGCTTTTGACGTGCGCGCTATATAAATATTATTATTATTATTATTATTATTATTATTATTAATCATTAAAACGTAGGATATCGAGTTTGGTGCAAACAAACAAACAAAAAAAAATTAAAACACGCAACAACAACTAGTGCTATTTTCCAACACCCTGGTAGTTAGCATTGTTTTTATTTTTTTTTTGACCGTCCAACTCAGAGACGGACTGTTAGGTATACCACTATGACCTATTACGTGGGGAACGTTTTATTTACCTTTATGTACATTCTTTGAAACTTTCGATTTTCTTCTAGAAATCTTTGATTAACACATACTATACCATATTTATTGATACTGGATCAACATTATTTAAGCTTATAATAACAAAGGACTTTTGACGTCGAATCCCTTGAAGCGAAGTTTTGCCATTGCATGGAAAACTCTTAGATAATTAAACCACGATCGATTGCATACAAGTTCAAAGTATCTTCAATGCTTCTTTGAAGAATAATTGATAACAGAATCATTCCTAATTCGTGGTTATCTAAACAAATCCAGGAAGTTTTTGTCAATGATGTCTCTTTAAATCAAGTAAAACTTAATCACCCTTGAAGAGTGACATTTCTTAAAAACAAAGAAAGAGTCGAATGACATCGATCGCGATCTATGCCACTCGCTAGATGGGGGACAACAGTCTTGTTGCAATTACCAGATTCATTAATCTTTCGGAACTTTCGCTGAACTAAAGCACGTATTTAGTTTTTCTTTTAATAAGAGAGTGTTACTTGTGTTGGAGAATCCCATGTTTTAAACTTGGCGAGTTTCCTATCTATTTCTTAGAAACTAACTCACTAGTATCAACAAACAAGATATCCAGTAAGACATGTGAATACATTTTTCACTTGAGTGAACTCCATGCAATCACGTTCGTGATTCACTGAGTCATAACCTTCGTTTCCAACTTGAATTCTAGAACAAGGATTCAATCAAGAACTTATCCCAGGGTCAAAAAACATTTGCAGTACCTTTCTGATCTCAAGCTGGAATATACAGGGAAAGAAAGAAACATACCTAGCCTCATTGTCTTTGAATAGCTTTCGTAACCCAACTTCATAGATAGCTTTCCACTCGCGTGACGGGTTCACTTTGAAAGAAATAGTCTTAGTCGTCGTTCAAAATGGCGCTTTTAAACGCTTTTTGTAAACCTATTTTTATGATTTCTACACATCCAAAAGAATACAAAAAGCAGCAAGAGGGATAAGTAGAAGTCTGGCTGCTTGGCAAGAGAATGAGAAGTTGTGATACGTTTTGAAGTTCCTGGAACCCTGAATAATCATGACATCCATTTTCCAAGAAACGATGAATAGCGTGTTTTAGAATAGCTTGGTTTATAACCGAGGTATTTCATGATACATACGAAGACACATACGAACGCAAAAATACTACTCCGTCGTTGGAACCAAAACGGCACAAAATTGAAGGCTTTTTTGTCGTATGTCGAAGGTGAGTTATGAAAACGAAATCTCGTAATTTTTCAGTTGTGGGATATCATTTACCCAACTTTGATAACACAGTCGAAATTTTCTTCGCTTTCTCCAATGGATGATTAACAAAGTTCTTACTTTTCACAACTGAAGTTGGCAAACATAACTGGCCCGCCATATGACGCAGCAGCTTCGTAGAATTTATCATAACATATTTATGTGTTCGATAATTCGCTTTTCAAATGTTAACAATTCTCATGTATTGTGTGATTTTATTTTTGGCTTATCCACGAAACTGTGACACGCAGACATGTAAACCAATTAAGCTTCTCTTGGATTCTGCTCTTAAAATTTGTTATCTCCAAATATTACTGATTTTATTTTCACCCCAAGTATATAAGTTTAGAGGCTGATAGTTTCGAAAGAAACTGTTTGGGGCTGCGTCGGTGGGAGTAACGAAATAATTTGGATATATCAACAAAGTTGAAATGGTAAATTGGCTACCGTAATGATTACAAAAGCTAATATATAAGTCTAGGTCGTTTTTTCTCTTTTTTGACTCATTAAAAGATGTAAACGATTATTTTGAGTCGATCATAAGTAGAAATTTTTTATCGGGATGAAAATTAATCTTTCAAAGCTGTTCATTCCAAGAAAAGGAGACGCATTCAAGGAAGAGAGATACGTGTTGAAGGTCATAACAATCTCTCTTTAATTCTACAGCAAATTCGCTCCATTTTTCGACCTCTACAGTTAAATGCGCAAGTCGAAAATTAAAAAAAGGAAGGGAAGAAAAGCTTACTGTTAGGGTAAAACCATCAAACTTTAAGCGATGTTAAAAAGGTCACAGTTTCCTAGATACAAAAACCATGGCGTGTTGATTTTTAATCCCATAGATCATAGAAATGATACAAAACATATCTTCTGGTTCGTACTCAGTCACCCTAATTTAACACCTTGCATCCCGACTCATTGTATGCTTCAAATCTTCAAGGAGGTTTTGTTAAGTACGTGACGATGGTATAGATTATGGCCTATTTTGACATGCTACGGCTTTGACAAATGTTCTTGCCATTTGGTCTCATTAGCTCAAAATCCATTTTACTTACCCACCAAGTTTGGAATTGAAGAAAGAAGCCACTAACGGACAATGCTTTCTTGAATGGTTATAACAGTTCAATGGGATATTAACGCCGGGAATTTGACGAACGATATCTTGAAATTTGACATTTGAATTGTTTTTAAGACGGTCCTATCTTACCGCATAATGTCACCTGGCCGTAAAGAAAGATCTCTCTCTCAAATAGTTGTTGTTCTTTCCCTTTTTCACTTTGATATTCAAAATCCGTATTACGGAAATGTTTCGGTTTGTTTAATCTTTCAGTGTCTACGACCATTCCTCGATGAGCAGCTCAAGAAAAGAAATCTTTACATCATTTTCTATCTAGGAATTAGCTCAATTCAGGAAATTAATGCTTTTCATGTTTCTTTGGGAGAAGAGGAACTTTGCCTTGAGCGAATGATATGTGAGCCTTTTAACTCAGCGAACAAGGTCGGTCGATCTCAACACTGACCTACAGAATAATTATGAACTAGTTCTGTCGAGTTTACTTACCTTTTTTAGATCACACAGAATGAACTGCGCAAAACTAGGAAAACAGTGAAAGCTTGGAGAGAAAACCTAACTTTTACTTCTGCTTGCAATTGACAATTAAAAATTGAAAATGAAAATGCTTTGCTGTTTGTTTTGCCAATCGCCGGTCACATGAGCCTGTCACATGACCCAGACAGCCCACGCTCGTTAGTCTTGGGTTGGCTAAAGATAACTAGGAGGACTTTTTTATCACATAAGGAGAAGAACTTTAAATATTTTCAAACAGCTGGTACCGAGGTACTTTTCCTAAAGTTTAAACGTGCTCTCACACCTCACTAACATCTTGTATAACAGAAAACCACATGTTGATTCCCTGACCCCTTGAGATAGAGAGAGTCAAGTTATATCACCTTTCTGTCTTTTTTCCTAGAAAGACCGCGAACAAAATTTGCATACTTCGTATTGTATGTTTTCTGAGCTTTTTGTTTTGAGTTTATTTTGTTTGATATATATACAGGGAGGAAGTAAAAAAAGATGCAGGACCCCTATTCTGAACGAAGGCTGATAGTTTCCAAAGAAACTGTTTGGGGCTGCGTCGGTGGGAGTAACGAAATAATTTGGATATATCAACAAAGTTGAAATGGTAAATTGGCCACCGTAATGATTACAAAAGCTGACGTTTCGAGCGTTAGCCCTTCGTCAGAGCGAATGATATGACGAAGGGCTAACGACGAAGGGCTAACGCTCGAAACGTCAGCTTTTGTAATCATTACGGTGGCCAATTTACCATTTCAACTTTGTTGATATATCCAAATTATTTCGTTACTCCCACCGACGCAGCCCCAAACAGTTTCTTTCGAAACTATCAGCCTTTATTCATTTGTTAATGAAGTAGTCTAA